TAAGAAAAGTCTTAACAGTCTTGTTTTGCAGTAGCTGCAGTTCAGTGTTTCTCTTATTACCCCAGGTCGGTATCACTATAATCGTACACCCGGCACTCGAAGCAGTTATGAAGAGTGTTCCGCGTTTCAAAAGTAATTTCCCTTTTTTTATCTGTCTTCTTTTTTGTTTGGAGCAGCCTTGTATCCTTTTTGTTCACTGTGGTATTTTTTTCTAATACAGTTTTAGTGCGTGTCTATGGTGGTTTTTTTCCTTTCTTTTCTCTTCTCCTTTTAAATTTTTAGATTTCTATCTTGTTATTTTATATATATCATTATCAGAATGTTCCACTCTGCCATTCCTTGATATAAAAGGCCTTATTGCGTCTAACTTTTGGTAGGTAAAATTGTATTCACCATAACTATTAGGGGAATAAATGTCGCTTATTCGCTTTGTATCAAACTAAAAAAGTTCCTTTTGAGGTGCCCTTTTACCCCATTGGTATATAGTGTCCAAATTCGGAACTCGGCCACTGGTGTCCAAAATCTAAAATCAGCCACTTGTGTCTAAAATCCGAAAATGGGCCTGAGGGGTGGTAAAAATCGAAAATCGGCCACTCGTGTCTAAAATCGGAGATCGGGCACTGGTGTCTGAAATTGGAGTATTGGCATCCCACATATTTAAGAGTACCCTGTTTTACAAGAGAAAGATGAATCAAGAATATAGTGGATTATTGACAATGAATCTGAACTATTGGTCGAGTGCCAATAATGATAACAATAGTATTATCAATGATAATTTATCGGGGCTAGCTCAAGAGCCTCCCTGTTCCTCTATCTCAAAAGTATAGTTTAATCATTATTGGAACCTAGAAGCTTCTAGGTTCCAATAATGATTAAACTATACTTTTTTCACTTTTTCCTATTGGTTATTAATTATTTTCTTATTTTATTGCAAAATTTTCCTTTTCTGGGAGACTTTCGTTTCAAACAATAAGGTACTCCGCGTTGTAGGACATTCCGCCATTCCTCAATTCCATCCTGTTAATTGTAGTCGGACCTTGCTCGCCTCGCAACTTCAGCGCTCTTTTGTCCTTAAGTCACTGATTGAAATGGTATAATGCTCTCTCTGCGAATAATTCAAAGGTATCCACGATGTGCAAATCTTCGCTGATTCAAAACATTTTTCCTGTAAGTTTTCATGATGCGCCGATCCGGCATACTTTTTAAGGCGTTTCTGCAAGGTAAAGCTTTGTTTATTCACGCACAATCCTGAAATTATTGTGAGATGTTTATCATCTTCTTTAGTACTAAGAAATAAACAATAACTAGCCTCGGGAAACAGTGTGACCACGTGCTAATTCCGAGTAACATTGAAAGCCATTCGAAGAAATCGTCAGTAAACGACCGAACATGTTACGAAACAAACAAAAGGCAAGAGGGAGGAATATTGGGTAAAACTCGGCAGACTTCGTTGTTGACTAAGGGGTCGTCCATATTCTACTGTTNGAATCAACTTATAATCCCCTTAAGAGTATTTTTCTTTATTACCCAACCCAATAATTTGATTGTATCAACAAAGTTGAAATGGTAAATTGGCCACCGTTACGATTATAAAAGTTGACGTTTCGAGCGTTAGCCCTTCGTAGGAGCGAATAATTCCAATAACGCATATTTGTTATACAACCGACAGCGTGCGTGGCAATATAAAGCGAATCCTGTGTTCTGATTGGCAACCCGAGCAGGCAAGATGGACCCTTCTTACCTGCTTGGGATCGTCCGCCTTGCAAGAAAAAGATTGCGAAAAAAAAAGCGAAGAACGAAGGAAACATTAAACAACTCTTATGAGTTTGTTGCGCTACAATCGCTGTTCGATTTCTTTTCCAGCTCTTGAAATAAACAAGTCGTTCCTGATTCTTATTATATATCGAATTTTTTTTGCTTTATAATAAATCCTCTCTTGACCGGGCCTGTTTGGTCAAGATGGCTGGATATTAGCCCCGTTCTTTTATTGCGTTTTTATGCACCTCGACTTCGTCTCAGTCCATAAAAACGCAACTGGAAAAGAATTCGGCTAATATCCAGCCATCGTGACCTCACGCTTGGTCAATAACGCATGTATACTGTAGGAGTTCTTGAAATTGCGACTTGAAGATGTTCGAAATTCGACTTAAAGGACCCTTTTCCGCTTAATTGGACTTTTATACTGAAACAAGTGGTTTATAACGTTCTTCGAATTCAAGATGTACTTAGGGAAGAAAGGAAATATGAGGTGATATGGTGCTGTTTATTTTATGATTGACCGTGTTAGATAGTGTCTTGAAAACAAAACCATGGTAATCAGAACGTAGGGGAATAGGTGCAAAAGTCAACACAATGGAAACTCAAAGTAGAAACAAGAAAATGTGATCAGTGCTGGAAAACGCTCATGATAAAATTACGCATTTGATTGGTTGAAAGCGTAATAAGAGTGACACTAAGAAACCAAAGAGAATACTCTCCTTATGCAATTAAAAGTTTCCTTTTAGAATAAGAAATGTTTGTTACTAATGTGATCAAGATAAACTGCCTTGCATTTTAACTCTGTTCCCACGTCAGCAACGGTTATCGAACTAAGTTTCGGAATATCTCTTCACAAATCTGGCTGTTTCCTTTGGCTAGTGAAAGTACTAACATGATAAAAATTTACTGAATCTCTTAGAAGCAGAATATGCCTATCAGCTACGAAAGCAAATCATCCCATTGATGATGGAACGTCGGTTTCAACCCAGGGGCTGGTTGGGCATTATAATGGGCACCAAGCTGTGGATGGACTATAGGGAGATGGAAAATTTTGAAGCGGGAACCAGCCACCTCATAAAGGAACTTGGCAAGACAGTGAAATCCCAAGGTAGGTGTGGCGAGGGGCGTCTACATACTTTTTAGAAGGAGACCATATTAATATTTTT